AGGGCTGCCCTCACACCCTTTCTGCAGGGCTCGAAGGACACACAGGATGTGGATGAACAGACGTTGCTGCGTAGTGTCGTCATAGGACTGGGCATAGCTTTGGTGCTGGTCATCGTGATCATGTCCATGGCTTTCGTGTGTGTCCGAAAGAGGTGCTGTCCCCACCGTCCCGTGTCCCCAGCCTCGCCTCTCCCACCTGACCCCCACCCAGGAATCGGGGGAGGGTGAAGAAGAGCTTGGGTTTAGTCTGTGGCAGGTGTGTCTGCATTGAATCCCCAGCGACCTGTTGTGCCATCTCGAGTAGGTCCTCTCCCCTCCCCGAGCCTCAGTTTCTTCATCTGCACAATGGGCATGACACTAGATTCCTCAAAGCCCTCCAGGAAGCAGCATGCATCTCACATGTGGCAAGCTGTCCTGGCACGTACGGTGCACTGAGAAAATGCTGTTTCTTTTCCCTTTTCCGATACATGTGTAGTTAGCAGCCAAATCTAGGCCTTGCCATGGGTCAACTGTGGGGCCTTTGGCAAATCCTTTCCCTTCTCTCGCTGTTACCTGTACTCCCTGCAAAATGGAGCCCATACTTTCATGTGCCAGGGTCATGGTGAAGTCACATGCCAAGGGCCTGTACTAGGCACATGGTGGGTGACCAGGGAAAGTAGTAACCCCCACTTCCTGTCTCCCCACAGCTACCAGAGGCAGCTTCGGGCTGTAAAGGCTGCCAAGGAGGCCCGGAAAACAGCAGCAGGGGTGATGCCCGCAGCCTTAGCCATCCCTGGGACCAACATGTACACCACTGACCGGTGAGTGGGGCTCCAAGGGTGGGCGAGAGGCCCTCCAGGGCGGCTGAGGCCCACGGCCACTTGACTGGGCCTCCCCTCCAGGGCCAACCCCGTGCTGAACCTCTCCACCAAGGACCTGGGCTTCGAGTCCCAGTCTTCCTCCAGTGACATGGACCATCTCAGGTGAGCAGCACAACTCACGGCCGTGCTGGTGGGTGGTGGTGGTGATGGTGATATAATGATGATGGTGATGGTGTTGTTGTTGCTGGTGATGGTGGTGGTGGCGGTGGTGATCATGGTGGTGCTAATGGTGAGGCAGAGAAGGTAGTAGAGGCAGTGGTGGTTCTTGGCCACAGACAGGAAGGACTGGGCCTGCCAACTGTCTGAACCCCACCATCTCCCCCACAGCCTCAACTCCCTGGATGACAACTCTGTGGATCTGGAAAAGAGCAAACAGGAAATCAAGGCAAGAGGGGGGAGGAGTCCTTGCCCAGGGGTTCTGACTGGGGGTCCTTCTCGGAAGGGGTGGGCTCAGAACAGAGCTGAAGGAGTGGCTGCTGACTCGGGCATGTCCTTGCTCCTGGCGCCGGACGCCTTACAGCTTTGGAATGGGATTCAATCTCTGCTCCTCTACTGTTTGCAGTGACCCTGGGTGGGTGGCTTCTCCCTCTCGCTCTGCTCTGTCACCTGTAAATAGTGATTGGAGCACCAGCCACACAGGGCTGTTGTGAGGGTGCAATAGAGTGAGTACAAAACCAGCTGGCACAAAGCAAAGGCTGAAATATCTGGTCCCTGCCTTTATGTCCCTTATGGAAAAGCAGCAGGGTAGGGGGCAAGAGATCTGGAGGTGACTATAACCTAGCAAAGGAGAGCAGGTAGGCACAAATAAACAATAGCACCATCATTTGTTCACTAGCTTAGCTGGTTCTGTTAGCTCAAGAATTCACACAGCCGGGTCTGCTGATTGGACACACGTGGGGAGCTCTTTAGACTTAGCAGGTCACAGCCCAGGGACTTGGATCCGATGGCTGAGGACGTCCAGTGGGAGCGAGCTGTTAAAGCTCCAGGGTGCTCATGTGCAGGCAGGATTGAGAAGCTCGCAGGGAGAGCTGTGGCGGGGCGGGAGGTGGGCCCTCCTCCTGGAGGGGTGGGGCACGAGAGCCCAAAGGAACGACCTTCTCGATCCTTCCCATTTTGAAAACAGTCATCGGAGTAGAAGCTCTAAGGTCCCCTGAACCTTAATGATCTGCCATCTCTGTGCATCGGGAGAGGGGTTGGGTATCTGCTGCCGTCTGCATCCTGCCCTCAGCTGTGCTCTGCTCTCCGAGGCCCCATCCTTCCTTCAGTACGTAATGGCCTCGCTGATGCCTTACACTGAAGGACCTGGCCCAGCAAAGCCTCTTGGGCGCCACAAAATACCAGAATGCCGCACAGGGACCTGGCTGTCACGTGGAGGCCTCCAAACGGGCCCCGGGATGTGAGCATCGGTGGCTATCCCAGCAACCAGGAAGTGGCAGGGGTCTCTGGGGGAACAGCTCATTCTGGGTGAAGACGGTTTCAGGCGAAAACTGCAGTGAACACACTTGTGGGGGACTACAGCAGAAGCGAACAGTATTGTGACCGCACGGGGGGCTCCCAGTGAGGTCAAAGCTGACCCCCAGAGGGCTGGGGGCTGGGCAGAGCAACGGGGCTGGGCAGGGCAGAGAGCTCTGGAGGGTCTGGAGAGGGAGGGGCCTGGCCACCCAGAGCCTCCGGAGCCAGGAGAGAGTTGAGCTGAGCTGTCCTACTGTGGCAGAGGGTCCTTACATTTCCAGATGCTGCCTGAGGCTCGACCCACTGGCCTGTAGCAGTGGGCAGGCCCAGGGGGCCACGGGGCCTTCTTAGGAACTGGCTGACCCCCTCTCTTTCCTTTGGCTGAGTGGGGAGCACAGCGAGGGGCATTTTCCCTTCTATCCCTGTTGCCCTGACTCACCCCAGACCTCTGTGTTTGTGTGGAAGGTATGAGAAACCTGAGGGGTCGCCCAACTCTATCTTTTTAAGCAACGAGGCCAGGGAGGGGTACTGCCTTGCCCACGGTCGGGATGCTTGGGCGGCCAAGGCAGGCTAGAACCGAGGGGTTTGGTCTCCTGGGCCCCCTCTCCGTTTCCTGGGCTGCATGGTGCCCACGGCCCCCGCAGGGGTTTGTGGCGAGGGCTCCAGGGGGCACAAGGAGGGTGTTTAGCCTGAGCTGGGGCCCCTCAGATGCTCCCCTCTTCACCAGGGACCAGAACAGCTCCAGTCTGAAAAAGCCCTTAGAGCGCCCACCCTAGGGAAGAGTGTGGGGGGTCTGCCCCGGGAGGTCTCTGCTGTAGAGAGGCTGAGCCTGGAGGCTGAGGCTGGGGGCTGGCTGGCTCCCTGCAGGGGCCACCTGTGAGGTTTCAGTGACCAACTGTGTGTGTGTGCAGCACGTCATGTGGGGTGGTATGCGCCTGCGCCCCACAGTGAGCAGGGCAGGACCCTGGGTGTAGCCTGGGGGCTCCCCCTGAACCAGAGGCTGTGCAGTGCTGCATTCCGACTCCATGGCAGGCAAAGCCAGCAGCTGCCCCAGTCCTGCTCTGCCCCTGGCTGGCCGTGAGAGCCGTCCAGGCCTCCCTTTCCACATCTGGAGAATGGGGCACAGGACTCCTCCCTCAGGGGGTTCCTGTGGGTGGGTCAGGTAATGGATGGAAGGCACCCAGCACAGCACCCACGGTGGGGTGGGTGGCAGGACCTGTGCTGGACGGGCATTATTCAGGACCGGGCAAAGGCCACTGTGTCCATGGGTGAGGCAAAGGCCAGAGGAGCCCCTGCCCCATTTCCAGCCCTTTGCTTCAGCCCATCCGTACTTCCAGTGGCCACAGGCACCTCTGGGATACGGCCAGGGAACTGAGGTCCCTAGAGGCGCAGGGTAGGACTCCAGCCATGGAACCATCTGGTTCTAGGGCCCGGGGAGATCACTCCACCTTGCCCCAGCCTTCATGTCCCCCCTCTCTTCGTACAGAAGGAGCCCCTGCACAGTACGGTGGAGCCGGAGATAGAGCCCCTGAGCGTGGTGCTGGCTGAAAGGCAGGTGGGCCTCACCAACGCCGGCCTGGACACCACGGACCTGTGATGGGGCCATGCCTCGGAGCCCGGCACGGGCCCCCATGCTCTGGTCTACCTTGGAAGAGACCCTGCTCCCCTATACTACACCTACCCTCCCCGAACATAGTAATATATCACAGTGATGGACCATGATTGCCTCCTTCTGCTGGTAGCCAATCACAGCTGACAAGTGTTGGGGGAAAATTTTATTACCAATGTATATTGTGACAGTTTGCAGCCAAAAACCAAGGCTGGAGGGGTGAGGACAGAGGCTCTGCGTGGTCCTCAGGGACTTGTGGGGCGCACAGCACAGGGCAGCGGGGGGCTGGGGAGGGAGGCCTTTGATGGGCAGCTGTGGTTGCACAATGAGCTTGCCATTCTGCCCCAGGTGCCTAAGACCGGGCTGCCGGAGGCCTGAGACCTTCTGCAACCTTGGCTGTTATCCCCAGACCTATCCGAGGCCCTCTGACCTTTCTGTATCTCTCCTTTCAACTGTAGGGCCAGGGCGCGCCTGCAGCTGCCGCCCCCACCCCTCCCGCCCCCCTGATCTGGAACCATGTCCCGTGAGGGTGGACATAGGGCTGGGTTGGGCCTGGGGAGGGGAGGCGGGGATCGGGGATGACTGACTACCAGCATGCAAGAGATGCCCGGGCCATGGGGGCCAGCCCGTGGTGAGCACACGCACTCACACTCACTCAGGGCCTCACATTCAGAGCCTTGCACACTCTGGGGCCTCACGCACCAATCCTTGCACACTTGGAGGTTTTGCGCACAATCTCCCATTCTGGGAACCTGGCTGCCACCGGCGGCAGCCAGCAGCCTGGACATCCCAGGAGCCTGTCTCAGCTCTCAGGCCTGGGGGATATGGAGCAGGTCCCTCAGGGGTAACCCGGAAGGAGTGGAGCAGAGAGTGGTGAGGGGACAAGTCGGGTGTCAGGGTTCGACTTGTGGACTCCCGACCAGGAGGGAGTTGGGTAGAGCGGGCTCATTTGTGTAGTAGGGGAAAGAAGAGGAGAGGGTGGAGTGAGAAGGCCCCAGAGGCTGCCCCTACCTCGCAGAGGCCTCGGGTCAAGAAGGGAGCCTGAGGTTGGAAACCCCGGCGTACAAAAGCGAGGCATATCACTCAGCCGTGGGTCCCGCCCGGGAGCAGCACCGCGGCCGGCGCACGCTCTGCAGCAACGCGCGGAACAGGCCAGGCGGGCGCTTGGCGTTGCCCTCCGGGGGCGCGGTGCGCACTGAGCCTGCACGGCCCGGGCCCGGGCCCGGGCGGGCGGCGGGCGGCGGCGCGGGTGCCCCTTGGCGGCCGTGCTCCTCGATCTGTCGCTCCAGATGTTTCTGGATGGCCATCCCCAGCACCTCCACCTCCATGGCGGCGCCGTACACCTCCCACGTCATGCCCTTTTCGTCCCAGCTCACATCGCGAACGGGCTCGGCCGCCTCCGGGGGCGCCACTGCGGCAGCCAGCACCGAGCCGGGCCGCACCCGCACCTCGGGGAAGGCGGGCGGCGGGGCGGGAGGCACTGCGGCCTGCGGCGTCATGGGCCCGGTGGCCACAGAGCGCGTCTCCGCGGCCCCCATCGACACCTGCAGGCCCGCGTCTCGGCGCGACGGCTGCCTAGGCGCGGGGCTGGGCTCGCGCGGCGCCGGCTGGAAGCTGAAGGCCGGGCCGCCCGAACCTTCCTGCGGAGACATGGGGCTCACAGCCACTGACACGCAGGGCTGAGCGCCCGCCTGAGTGCCCGCGTCCTCGCGTGGCGGCGGGGCGCTGGCATCCCACGACGGCGCCTTAGTGAAGTTGTCACGAGTTCGCGGCCCAGGTGGGGGCGCTTCAGTCTCCGGGCCGGGGCTTCCCTGGGCCCCAGCGGCGACGGGTTCTTTCTGCCCCAGACTGCGGGCCTCTGTGCTTGTCGCTGGCGCGGGTTCTACGCAGTCCCCACCGCTGCTAGCACCCGAGGGAGAATAGGCGGAGCCGCAAGCTTTACTATCTGACTGCCAGGGGAGAGAGGCCTCTGCCCCATCTAGAGTTAAGGGGGCCACATTCCCCAAGGAAGTGGGCTCCACTTTTCCCCCAGGTGGTGCAGAGTCGGACTTCCCCAGGGCTACAGGCTCCACCTTCCCAGAGGCAACAGAGTCTGCTGTTCCTGAGGGTCCAGGATCCCCCTTCTCCAAGGCCAGGGGCTTCTCTTGATGAGTCGCAGCCTCTGCTTTTCCTGTTGAATTGGGACCCTCCTGCTCAGGGGGCTTTGTCACTGCTTTGCCCTGGGACTTGGGTTCTGCGTTCCCCGAGGCCCTGGGGTCCACCTTCGTGGAGTTCTCAGGGTCCCCCTTCTCTGGAGGCAGGGGACCCACTTTTTCCTCTGGGACAGCTCCTGCTTTTCCCGAGGGTTCGAGGACTGTTTTCCCTAGAGTTGGGGGGGCCACCTCTCCTGAAGACACAGAGTCTGTCGCCTTTCCTGGGGGCAGGATTTCTGCCTTCCCCCGGCTCACGGGGTCCACCTTGCCCCAGGCGGGGGGATCGGCCTTCCCTGAGCCCGTGGGACTCAGCTTCCCAGAGGTCACAGGACCTGCCTTTTCTGAGGACAGCAGAGCTGCTTTCCCCCCAGTTGCTGCCTCGGCTTCTACAGAGGACGAGGGTCCCACTGTTCCCAGGAGCTTGGGGTCCCCTGGAACTGAGGCCACAGGGTCTATCTTCCCTGAAGATTCAGGATTCACTTTTCCAGAACACGGTGTTTTTATACTTCCCACAGCACTGATGGGGCCCGCCTTTCTGGAGGAGCCTGGGTGCCCCTTCCCCGTGGACACAGTTTCTGTCCCTCCCACAGACATCGGTTTGGCCTGCCCAGGAGACCAGGGCTCTGGCTTTCCCGAGGACGCGGGGTCCACCTTTCCCAGAGAGACTGGACCCACCTCGCTTAAAGACACAGCCGCCGCCTGTCCAGCAGACCCGGTTTTGGTCATTCCCTCAGACACAGGGTCTGCCTTTCCTGAGGCAGCAGCGTCCATCACTCCCAGGGGCGGAGGGTCCTCTTTGGCAGGGGATGCAGTTTTCACATTTCCCGCAGGCACAGGGCCTGTCTTCTCCAGGAGTCGGCCCCCCGCTGCCGGCTCCAGAGCCACTGTTCCGGGGGATGCAGGCTCGATTTTGCCTGATGACCCTGGAGTTAGCTTTCCAGCAGACCCAGGACCTGCCTTGTCTGCAGGTGCAGACTCGGTGTTTTCCGAGGACCTGGGATGCACCTTTCCTGAGGGTCCGGGGTCTCTCTTTCCCAAGGACCCAAGATCCACCTTGCCTGCAGGTGCAGCACCCGCTTCTTCTGAGGACCCAGGAAGCTTTTGTCCCGAATCCCTGGGTTCCTCCTGTCTCGGGCACGCAGAGTCCACTGTGGCTGAGGGTGTGGGATCCCCGCTCCTCGGCGATGCTTGGTCCACCTTGCTCAAGCACGCAGGGTCTGCCCCTCCCCAGGATCCAGGACCCTCCTGTCTTGGGGCCCCAGGATCCATTCTTCCAGAAGCCACAGGATCCCCCTTCCCCAGGACTGCAGGCTCCGCCTTTCCCATGCACATGGGGCCTGCCTTTCTCAAGGGCCCGGCATCTTCCTGTCCTGTGGAAGTAGAATCTGCCTGCTCTGAAGACTTGGAGTCCATCTTCTCCGAAAACATAGGATTTCTGTCCTCCAAGGGTGAGGGGTCAGTTTTCACTGAGGACACAGGCTCTGGCTTTCCAGAGAAGGTGACTTCTGGTGTCCCAGAGATCGAGGCTCCATGTGTCCCCACTGTCTCCTCGGTGGCTGCCTCCTGGGGAGGAACGCAGGTCAGGGGTGGGCAGGCCAAGCTCCCGCCAGGACCATCAGAGCAGGAGGCCCCTCCCCCGGCCCCACTGGGGCTGCTGTGTCTGGAGTCCATGCCAAGGCTGTGAGCAGGGCTGTGCCCAGGTGCAACCACGCTGGCCTTCAGCGGAGAGGGGCGGTAATCCCTCATGGCCGGGCACCCAGTCCCTTGGTGCCCATCCTGCGGGCAGCTGAGGGCTGAGGGCTGAGGGCTGAGGTCCTCGGGGACGAGCCCTTTCGAAGCCCCTGGAACCAGGCTGGCTCTTCAGCACCGCCCAACGGCCCGCGTGACGGAGCTGCAGCCCCAAGCTTCGGTCTGGCTCTGAAACACAGAGAGAACAGGCTCAGACTCGGGCAGACCCAGAGGGCGGGGCCTCCTCCGGCTGCCTGTCTCTCTCTCACTCTCCTCCTGGGGCCAGGCCTCCCCACCAGATTCTCCACCCCCATCCGGTCCCCTGCTGTCCAGAGAGCCTGGCCTGAAAACATGAGCCCATCCATGCGCTGCTTCACTGCTCCCAGGAACCCTGAATTTCCTAAGGTGGTCCTCAGGGCCCACCACACCTGGCCGCGGCCTGACTTTCTGACTTCATCTGCTGTCACCCCGCCCCCTCCCTGGGCTGCCCAGCCCATGGAACACGCTACTAGAAATTATGCTTCTGTCCTCTAGCCCACGGGTGACAATGTCTGATGCCGTTGGGGCCAGGCGGGGAACTGAAGCGAGGGAAGCAGGCTGGGTATAAAACGGTGGGGAGTGGCGAGGACTACAGCAAAGGGGAGCGTGCGCGCTGCCCAGGGGGCCTCTGCCCTGCCGCCCAGACTGCTCTGGAGAAAGGCATCCTGGCAGTGCCGGTGAGAAGTGGGGAACCCGGCTCTTTAATGTAAAATATCCTAATTAATGCAAGATTAAAAAGAAAAAACCACAACACTGGCAGCCAAACAAGATATGCCTGTGCAGGCCCTGGGGAGCTTTGAATAGTTCATGTTCACAGGAGGGACACAGTCGATGATCTCTTTTCAGAGATCGCTCTGGAATGGTGTGGAGGCTGTGCTGGAGGAGAGGGGCTGGCCCGGACCTGCGGGGAGGCTGGTCAGCCATTCAGTCAGCCTTTCACTCATCCCGTTCTCCACTCAGCCGCAGGCCGGAGCAGCTGCAGCAGCCCAGGTGAGAGAGGGTCCAGGACGGGTCCCAGAGAATGGGGTCGGCAGCTGAGAGCTCTGAGGGGAAGCTGACAGGAGCCAGCTGGCTGGAGGGGGTGACGGTGGGGGTGGACCACAGGAGTCTGGCTGGGGTGGGTGTGTTGCCAGGCAATGGTGCTGGGCGGGAGATATGGGGAAAGGGGGAGTTGTGTTTTGGACAATCCAAGTGTGTGGTGTCTGGGGGACAGCCAGGGAGAGGGGCCGGGCAGGCTGCTGGGTCTGTGAGCACCCCTGTTCCATTACACAGCCAGCTGCCACAGCCCAAACCCACTCTTCCTGCCCTTGTCCCCAAATCCACCTCGCAGTGCTCAGGCCAAAGTCCCTAGTGTCACCCTTGACTTTCTCTCATGGTCCACCCCCCATCCATCAGCAAAACAGAATGGATCTACTTTCACAGTGTGTCTAGAACCTGGCCACCACCCTGAGCTTAACTCACACCGTCTGCCATCTGGGCCATTCATCCCTGCTTTTCCGTTCACCCCAAACAGCTCATTCTCCACACAGCAGCCAGAGGGACCATACCAGACCCAAGGTAGACCAGGTGCCTCCTGTGCTCAGAACCACACAGGTGTCTCCCCATCTCATGCAGAGTAAAAGTAACCTCCTTAGAGTGGCCCATGAGACTGCATGTTCTGGTGCCGGTACCTATCCCTTGATTATGCTGCTTCGGCCACACTGGCCGCCTGGCTGAGCCTTGAACACCGGCCTCGTCCTCTGCCTGGAGTGCCCTCCCGCCCGCCCCCTGCACGGCCCGCCTCTGCCCGTCCGGTACAATGGTCTTGGCCCCAGCACCGCCTGGCGCCTCATGTCCCCTCGCCCTGCTCAGATCTGCTTCCGAGAACCTGTCACCACATGACATGTCATGTCGGTTTGTTGCCTACGATGTGCCCGAAGGATGTCAGCTCCAGGAGGGGGCTTTGTGGTGTTTGCCGATGTCTCCTCAGGGTTGGGGACAGCGGCGGGCAGGTAGTAAGCTAGTAGCTCCCAATAAACGTGTGGCATGAACGAGTGACTGAAAGCTCTTTTCGGATGTTGGTGCAGCCGTGCCATTCTGTGCAGTCTGCTTCCCTGGGCTCTCGCTGGGGAAGTACAGTGGCTGTAACCTTTTTGGAAGGACATTTATCAATTTCTATCAGGGTTTCCAGGGCACACAGTGTTTGGTCCAGCAGGTCCACCTCCAGGGACAGTCGTACGTGGAGGGAGCACGAGGACAGGGCCGGCAGTGAGGAGAAAACTGGGAAGTGGGCTTGGGAGGTGCGGGATAAGCACTGGGACCCCACAGAGCTGTCAGGATGTGCAGAGTGATGGGGAAAGATGCCCTCCATGGAACAGGTGGAAAGAGCTGGGGATGGACAGGCACATGTCTGTGGCCTAGTTACGGAGACGGCCTTTCCACATTGCCTCTGGGAGGGGAGGCCGGCGGTTTGGCAGAGGAAGAGACTGTCGTGTATGACCCACTGTGAAGTCGCAGTTTGGGTTATGACGTATTTACAAAACAAAACAAGAAAGAAACCTTCAATGATTCCCTAGTACCCTTAGGGTCAAGTCCAACTCCATAATGTGCTTCCAAGCCCCTGAAACCGTACTGACCTGCTGGCTGTGCCATTTAGTGTGTGCTCTCTACTCCAAAGCATGTGCTTGCACATGCACACATGCACACACACCCATATTCACTCACACATGCTTGCACACTTATTCACGCACATACCCACACACACCCATAGCCATGCACATGCACCCATAGCCATGAACACACACCCATATTCATGCACACATACACACAAACACACCCATACCCACACATGCACACACCCATAGCCACACAAACACACCTATATTCATGCACACACACCCATATCCACTCACATATCCACACACACATAACTATATTCATGCCCCCACACACCCATATCCACGCACACATACCCATATTCACGCACACATACATGCATGCACACACCCATATTCATCACACGTGCACACACACACCACCTTTGGGCTCCCCTGTGGCCTCACACCTTTCCCACGGCAGCCTCCCCACACCCTCCTGCCCGACTCTCACCCCGCTGTCAGGGCTCAGGGTAGCTGCCTCCTCCTCTGTGAGCCTTCTCTGCCCACCGGCTCCTCGGGTTCCCACAGCCTTTGTTTTCCCTGAACCAGGCTCATGTCGCTGTGTACCTATCCCTTTATTCTATTTTATTTATTTAAAAAATTTTGTTTTTATTTTAGAGAGAGAGGAAGAGAGGGAAAAAGAGAGGGAGAGAAACATCTACTGGTTGCTTTTTGCACGCCCCTGAGCCAGGGACCTGGCCTGCAACGCAGCCAATTGCCCTGACTGGGAATCAAACCAGCGACCTTTCGGTTTGCAGGCTGGTGCTCAACCCACTGAGCCACGCCAGCACTTAGCCCTTTAGACCTCAGATCCCTGGATGGGGGACTCAGCTCCTCCTGTTCACTGCTGGGTCTGCAGGCTTTGGGCTTATGGGACCTGGGGGTGGGAGGGGGTCATCACCGAATTGGGGACACAGGGGAAGGGGCAGTTTTGCAGAGGACAGTGGGCACTGGGTTTGGGGAGGTGAACTGGGTGCTTGTGGCACTTATGGGGGAATGGCCAGGAGCAGCTGTGAGTTCTGTTGTTGGAGCTGGTTGTCAGCAGCATGAAAATGAGCTGGAAGGTCCCCGACCCATGGGGGTTGGACAGGCATCTGATCTGAGTGGTATGGACTGCGGCCGTCTTCATTTTTCTGCCACTACGTGGTGATGTGAGCACTGATAAGTATTTTACTCCCATAAGAAAAACAGCAGAGTGAGGTGATTAAAGACTAAAGAGCGAGAGGGAATGGTGGGGACTGCGGCAAACTAGAGAGCACTGGCCCCTTTCAGCACTGAGTTCTACTAGCTAATTAGGAATTCATTGAGTAATTCAACACTTGTCTAGCACATATGCAATGTTGTAAACATGCTCTTGGTACTGGGGACACAGCAGTGAGTAAGAAATTCACGGTCCCTGACTTCCAGTTGTGGAAAGATTGGGGGAGACCAATTCCCAAGCAAGCAAATAAATTATGTAACTTCAAATAATAATAGATGTCGTGAAGATAAGGAGTGGGCAGCTGGCTTATGGTTCAGGAAGGCCCCTCTGAGGAGGTAACGGCTGAGGGAGCCATGGAAAGGCCTGCGTGGCCTTAGGAGGGGAGGAGTCAGGGGGAGCCCATCACTCAGGTCTTGGGGGAGGAGCAGGAGTATATCCTAAGGGTGCTGGGAAACCCCTGGGTGTCTTTTTTGGTTCCCACCCAAGGACTTTTTTTCATTGCTTTTAGAGAGATGGGTAGGGAGAGAGAGAAACACTGACACACTATCTTCTGTTTGCGCCCGGACCTGGGATTGTAAGTGCAGGACCAGGGCTTGAAGTCCGAACCCAGACGTGGGCCCCGACCAAGAATCAAACCCACAGCCGTTTGGTTTATGGGACGATGTTCCAACCTGTTGCACCGCATGGGCCGGGGCCCCCTGGGGCGTCTCAGCAGGAAAGTGCGCGTGGCTCCTGCAGGGCCAGTTGCCGTTGTTTAACCTGGATTCTTCTGTGCTTTAAATGTTGGTTAATTTAAAACACACCTCGCAGGTCAAAAAACTCACTTCCATGGGCCAGCTCGGACGCCCCAAGCCCCTCGCTGGAGACCCTGGTCTATCTGGTCCTTTGGGCTACAGGAAAGGGCACTTGTACAAGCCAGAGAGACTGGGTGGGTGGCAGAGAGAGAGGGACCAGGTCCTGGTGAGGACTGGGTCTGCCAGCCAAGCCGGCCTCTCCCAACCTCAGTTTCCTCTTCTGGGAAAAAGGAATTTAACAGCTGCCTGGGAGGTAGAGCAGGGGGAGCTAGGAACGGAGCTGGGAGGGGTCAGCCTGGAAGGAGTCAGCCGGGGGCTGTCGGACGGGTGCTCAGAGTGTGACCCAGCCCCGGGGGGCCCCCACACCGGCCCCTCCAGCAGCTCCCTCCTCCTGGGTGTGGCCTTGCAGGAGGTCAGGGCAGCTCTCCACACGCCAGCTGTGTGACCTCAGGTGAGTGCTTTCTTCCGGCTGGGGGCCCTGGCGGACTCACACACCCTGCACCCGCAGGTCGCTGTGAGAGTTGAAGCTGAGGGGTGTGCCTAGCCCTGCACTGCAGGGCGGGCTGTGTGTGTGGAAGGCCTGTGTTTATCCACTCACCCTGTCAGAGCCCAGCTGTGCTCCCCAGAGGGGGCAGGGGCGGGGACAAGGAGGGGGCGGGAGTGGGGGGACAGGCCTGCAGCAGAGGCAAGAATCAGCAAACCCGGGCCTCAAATACATGTGTTTGACCCAGAATGTTAACACATTTTTTTCAAAGGAATTAACTTTTAAAAATTAGAAGATTTCAGCAAAAATACAATTTGCAGCTCCTCTTGGAAAACTAAAATTTGGCATTCTCTGTGTGCTTCCTGCGTGATGACCATCCGCTGGAGCCGAGCACTAGCTGGGGGTGTGTTCTCCAATTAGCCACAGTCTCCACCCCTCCCTACAGTGCTTGAATGCGGAGGCCAACTATCAGTTGTCATTGGCCACTAAGTTTGTACCACTATTTTTCTCATAGCCAGCCCCTCATGCTTGTTATCCGCCTGGCCTGTAGCCGCCTGAGTTCTGACCCTTGACCTAGATACCGAGAAAGGTGGGAAGTGACCTCACACACAAGCCCTTACTGTATTTCTGTGCAGACCCCGTGCACCTGCCACACAGGCGTGTTCTCACTTTTCAGAGGAGGAGGCTGAGGTCCTGAGAGGCAGGCACAGCCCAGCCACTCACACGCCTCTTCCACAAGGCCCCCCTGAAGAGGCTCGCTTCTCGACTCCCAGCTCAAGGTTCTCCCACTTGGGATCAGGTTTGGGGTAGGTCCGAGAGCCTGGCCAGAGGCTAGAAAGATGTGGGGACAAGGCTGAGCTTAGTCATGGTCCTGCTCTGTGACTTTGGGTAAGTCTTTCCCAGTCTGTGAACTGGGGGAGGGGCTGTGGTTATACTTAGAAGAGCAGAACCCCCCCCCCCCCCCCCGCCCAGGGTTGAAGGTCTACTGCCCTCGGGTCTGCTGGGCCCTGCCTGGCTCTTGTGGAAGCCTCAGTATCATCCAGCCACTTCTTCAAGAGGCCCTGGGTGCCCCCTCAGTCACCTGCACCCTCCCTCTAGAGCCTGGCTCCACCCCTCACCCACCGCATGCTCAGCCCTGGGCCCAGCACTCTCTGGCTCCTTTAGCATCTGGACTCCACAACATTCTCATGAGGGGCATTACCATCTCATTGCACAGGTGAGGGCACAGGTCAGAGGGAGGAAAGACTTGACACCAAGGGCACACAGCTGAGGTCGGGGACTGTGGTTCAGAGCATGTTGTGTCTGAACCCAAAGCCTGGGTTCTTCCCGCTCAGATCAGCAGAGATCCTGGACACTAATGCTTGACTTTTAAAACCCCTTTCTGCTCTTTGGGGTAAGGGTTCTCCCTGTGTCCTGGGCCCAACAGGCAACAGTGCCCAGGAACATTCTGGAGACGAAGCAAGAGTGTTCCCCGTGCACACACCCACATGTGTGAATACACATTCCACAGGAGCAGATGACCCCCTAGGTGTGGGGGCCAGCTCACCTGGTGTGCAGGGCCGTGTGCAGACTGCTTTCGGATGTCTGTGCCAGCACAGGCCAGCTGGGGAGTCAGGATGTGGCTCCTGCATTGTGCTCAGAAGGAGCCTGGTATGCACGTGGGCCACCTGCGTGTGTGGGATGGCCTGTCTGTTTGTGTCCCTGGGGGCCACTGGGACCCTGTGGGTGCGCACACCTGTGGCCACCTGACCTCCGAGTCTCACTCACGGGAGTGCTGGCCTGGAGGTGGGCACAGGTGTGTGTGAGCACAGGCCCGGAGGTGGGCGCAGGCACAGAGCAGCCCTGTGGATGCTCACCCTGGCTCGCAGACCTGGCCGGCCAGCTCCTGTCCCTCTGGGATTTCTCCCCATCATGGAGCCAGGCACCTGAGAACACCTCCATAGTGACGAGACTTACAAAGTCTCGTGGGGCTTTGACAGGTGTGAATGTGTCCCTGTTTGTGCCTGACAGTCCTGGTCTGCTGCCCGTACCCCCTCATCTTCTTGTCTCCTAGCACCCTCAGAGCGCAGAGCTTCCTGCCTGGGGCTGGAGGTGAGAGAGAACCTAGCAAGGGGTGGCAGCCAAACTCTTCCAGAAATGCCCCCCGACTCACCCACCCACCCAACCATTGGCCCATCCATTCATCCATTTCCAAGAGGGCACAAGTGTGTGCACACTTGGACTGAGTGTGGGGAAGGGTGGACAGCAAGCTAAGAGACAGAGAGTGTGTGACAGAGAGAATGGACACAGTGGGACAGCCTAATCCAGGGTACTCCCCCTCCAGAGCGGGATACATGAGTGGCACCATGATAAGCAGGTGTGGAGGCTAGGCAGGCCAGGCCAGGGCGACGACCAGTGTGGCATGGGCAGGGAGTGTTGTCGAGTTGAGTGTGCTGTGACTGGTGATGGCTGGTGTGAGTGCGTAGCTCTGCCTGGGTGTGTACGCAAGGCTCCCATTAGGTGCACTGGGAGGGTGCACAGGCAGTCGGGTGCACGAGTGTGATGGAATGACAGAGGGGCGCAGTGTATGGGTGTGGACCCGTGGCCTCGTGTGCTGAGTGACAGTGTGGGATGGGACCCCAGTGTGTGTGGACCCCAGTGCGGGACAGCGAGTGTGCTCAATGTCTCGTAGACAACAGAGCCACACGGGCCCTTTGCTTGCTCTAGGGGAAAAAAATGAATCAACTCGATCCGACCCCCTCCCCACCATGGCGGGAAGCGCCCCCTCCCGAACGACCATGCGGAACAAAGGGGCTGCGGGCGGGGAGGCCAGGCGCAGGCCTGGATTCTACATTCACGCGGGCTGGCCGGTGGGGGGGCCCCCATGGGGGCTCGGCAGGCACCGCGGGACCCGCCCCCGCCCCGCCCCGCCTCGGCCAGGAGCCTGGACAGGGACACCCACCGCCCCCGGCCGCGCGCGCACACGGACCCGGGCTCGCATCAGACCCAGGCTGCGCGCGGGGACTAAGCCCCGCCACCCAGGGGTTTCGAGGACCCTGGACAGCGGCTCAAGGGCCCGCGCAAGAGAAAGGGTTCTAAGCCGCCCGCCCGGAGGGGCAGCAGGTGCGGGCTCGGCGCGGGCGCGGCGCTTACCCGGCCGTGCCGTTGATCTGTCTCCTTCGCACGCTGCGCTCCGGGTCCCGGGGCCGCCGCCCGAGCGGCCTCGGCTGCCTCCAGCCGGGCTGGCGGGCAGACCCGCGGACTCTGCACCGCGGTCCCCCGCGCCGGCTCGGCGCTCCTGCCCCGCGCCCCGCCCCGGGCATGCGCGCTGGCCGAAGCGGGCCTCGGATCCGCGAGGGGCGGTGCCGGCGGGGCGGCGGGGCGGAAGGAGGGAGGGACGCCCCTCACCTCGGACTCTGGGCTGCCGGGGTCCCCGCTCCGCTGGGCCCGGTTCCCATTTCACACGGGGGAGGAGAGGCCGCCCTTTTGCTGCGCGCCTGCCGAGGGCGGGGCGCGCGGTCTCGGATCTCACTCAATCCAGCCCGGCGAGCGCCCTTTCCACGTCTCGCCGAGAAGTAAGGTGGGGCTCAGAGAGGGGAAACCACTTGTCTGCGGACGCTCAGCGACTGGACGGGGACCCAGGCTCGGGAGACCTTCGAGTTTTCACTGCGCGGGCATTTCCCGCCTCCCCCTCGGCCGCGCGCACTTCCGGCCTTTCCCTGCCCCGCCCCCGCCCTTTGTCTCGCCGCTGCCCACGCCCCGCGAGCCGCGCAGACACGGTGGGTGGTGGAGACCGGCGGTGGGGGGGAGGGAGTGGGGGGAGCGCCTTGGATTCCCTCGCTGCCCGCCTCCTTCGCCAGGTGGCCGCCCACCATCTAGTCTGTGCAAGTCCGCTTCTCCTTCCCCCGCGTAGCCTCGAGCCAATTACTTAGCCTCCCTGAGCCTCAGTTCCCCGACCTGTGAAATGGGACTGACATCAATCACCTCACAGTGGCCTTGGAAGGATGAACGAGACTGAAGGAGATGTTCAGGGGCTTCCAGTTGAGTATGAATCGCCAAGGACATCAGCACATGCGGCCCACTCCGCCTCGACGTTCCTCTGCAGGGAAATAGTCCCCTCCCCTTTGACTTTCCAGAGCAGAAAAAATAATTCTGTAATTGCCCAGAGGCAATAAAACCCTCCCGCCTGAACTAAAAATGGAACAGTGAACGTTAGTGGAATGCTCACTGAGGGGCAGGCGCCGTGCTCAGTTGTTTACTGGTTTCGTCTGTGTCTTAATTTCCAATCGCTTAGGAGAAGGTGATATTAATGGATTACACCCCCATTTTCCAGATAACAACATTGAGATATGCTCGTCCCTGCTCACACAGCTAGCTACTGTTGGCGCTGACTCCTGAAGTTTCTCCTCTTCTTCCTTACCTGGTGAACCCTGTCACCGTGATCTTGGAAAAAAAAAAACTGTTAAAAAAATCTAGATGACAAATGAAGAGAAGCCATCGGGCGGGCGGGCAAGCCTAAGAGGAGAAAACCGCAAAGAGGCGGACGCGTTTTCAGCACCATGGACAACGTCCGCGCCAGCCGCTCACTGTGCCATTTAGGGCCCTGAAAATTGCTTGCTTCATGGTTTACACGCCCTGTTCTACCTTCGTCCTTTCGTGTTATTCCCCTACAGTCCTTCCCAGCAACCATTATTGGCCCCACTGGGCCTTGGCCGGGTGGTTCAATAGGTTGGAGCGTTGTCCCCCAAACCAAAATGTGGGTTCCATCCCCGCTCAGGGTGCGTACAGGAGGCGGCCAAGGATGTTTCTCGGGTCAGTGTTTCTCTCTCTCTCTCTCTCAATTCAATGAATATATCCTCAGGTGAAAATTTTTTAAAAAATTGAAAGGGTAAGAGCCCCAGGGGGGCAGGGCAAGGGCGAGGGCGGGTGAACCTGACCAGGACAGGAGCAAGGAGGGTGTGGCAGCCGTCCAGGTGAGGGACAATGAGGGTGCCTGAGTGGAGGCAGCATTTGCTGGGATGGGGCAGAGGGGTCGGGCTTGGAGCCCCTTTAGGCCTGGCTCATGGGCCGGATGTGAGTGTGAGGGGAGAGAGGATTCTGCTGCTTCTCTGAGGTTCTGGATACGGGGGGGCCCAGTGGGTGGAGGACAGATACCCCACGAGCTCTGGGGAAAGCAGGGGCTTGTGGGACAGCTGTGCTGTCACCCACGAGTGCAAACCTGAGCTCTGGAGAGGATGAGGCAGAGGGACCAGGGGACTGGTGCTGGGCGTCAGGAGGGCCAATTGGCACCTCAGGCCAGCACGTGGAGCAAACAGGGTGAGACAAAGACCGGGGCCCACCCTGACAGCACCCACATCAGGGGCCAGCTGGGCAAAGAGGCTGCCCTGGAAAATGGGGAACCGGTGTCTGAGAAGCCAGAGGAAACCCTGGAGAGTGTGGTGTCTCACGAGCCAAGGGGAGAGAATGTTCCAGAAGGAGGGCAGAGCCAATCAGGTCAGGAAGACAGGATATGGCCCGAAAGATGTCCTCTGGACTTGAAAAGAAAGTGATGGAGATTTGATCAGAGCACAGTCCACGGAGGGATGGGGGTGGAAGCCAGGGCAGGGGTGGGGCGGAGGGCAGCGGATGAGTAAACAAGAGTGAGAACTACAGGAGAGAGCTCGCTCTCTCGAATTTGGGCTTGGAAGGAGAAAAAGGGTAAGATGGTCTCTACATGGGGCTAGAAGGAGACTGGAGGCATTTAAATCCTGATGGGAGGGGGACAGGAGAGAGGACAGCAGAGATGCCAGCAAGGGAGACCCTGGTGGCTGGGCCCAGAGGCGTAGGGTAGAAGGGCAAGAAGGGACCCAGCGCCCTGGGGCAGCTCACAGACCCCTAAATGAGGATTGAGGAGGGAATGTGGTCTATTTGGGAGGTGCAAGGACACCAGCAGCGGAGGGGGACGGTGACCCAGGAGAGCTAGGGAGGCATCCAATAAAAGGTGGTTATTAAGCCAGCTGCCACAGCGGGGGAGTGAAGCTCAATCCTGTAGGAAGTCTCGGGAAGTGGGATAAAGGCACACCTCGGACTTCCCGGCCGAGGGTGAGAGAGCTGGCGTGTTCACGTCTGAGAGCCTGGCAGATGCTGGTTAGCTCCCAGGCGCTCTGGCTCACTGCGCTGCTGTCGGGGCCTCTTTCCAACCTCCCCTTTGCCACACTCCAGCCACTCTTGTTCCACTCGAACTTGGGGATAAAAACGGGTTTAAAGATGAAGATTTTCAGACAATGAAGTTAAGTGCTAGGGCAGAGTGGTAGCTCAAATAGAGCACCAATCTGCCCTAGGAGGCAGCAGCAGGGTCCTGGGTCCCGGCCTTTCCAGTTCCTAGCTGTGTGGCTTTGATTGGGGTCTTTCTGAGCCTCACCTTCATCATGTGTAACAGCTCGCAGAACTCCAAGGAGAGTTAGGGGAAAATACCCTCAAAACAACAAATGAAGCACCCCCACGCCGATCACCATGCACAATGTAGCTCTCACGGTGGACACCAGGGTAATGGTGAGCCCGACACTGTGCACCCATACCTGACCACAGCACCCCTGTCTCCCTTGGGGAACCACCCCCCGCTCCAGTCCAAGTGGCAGGTAGGACTTGCCCCGCTGCCAGCCTTGGGGGTGGGCAGTTGCTCAGGCCTGGCCAATCGCTGTGCAGGGGCTAGTTCTGGGGGCCTGGGGTGGAGCGCAGGACCCAGGTCGGAGCAACTGGCTCTCACACTTTCCTGGAGCCTGGGGGTTACTTAATCCATGGTGTGTCCCCTGGGCTGTTGAGGGGTTGTCTTTGTCCCCATGTGGAGTGCATCTGCCTGGGCCTGGGTTGTGGCTCATCCTGGGGTTCAGGCTAGTTCTGCGACACCAACATGGTGCCCCACACCCGTGTGTGTGCACACATGCGGGCGTTTCGGTTGGTCTGCCACTGGGAAGCCATACACACGCACACACACCAGAAGATAAACAAGTGCCTGCAGCTCCTTGGCTGGCACCCAGGCCGGGGGCGGAATGAACAGTCCCAGTGACTTTCTGAAAAGCAGGCATGTGTGGCAACAGGCACCGTGGAGACAAGCAGGCTACACTGAAGCAGAGCCAGCAGCCGCCCCCCACGCCACCCCGGCACACACACACGCACCAGTGCACTCTCATGTTCATAGCATGTTCTTGTCCACTCTGTCCCACATGACCCCCCTCTCACACCCTGCATGCCCTCCCTGGGGGTCTAGCCAGTTACTCCCATTCCAGCTTCGCTTGAGGCTAAAGGCTTTTGAGAAGGTCTGGGTCCCAATAAATCAGCATCCACAGTTCCTGACCTGCTTGGACAGCAGCCCTGGTCTAGACCCAATTTCAGCAAATCACAGCCTCTAGGGAAGGGGTGGCGGCAGAGGTGGTGGTGTGTGTGTGGGGGGGCTGGGATCACATGGCAGGCAATGCCATATAAACCCCACTTTCTGGAAAGTGCTTGTGTTTGCTTCGGAAATGCACACACACACACCAGCTCCTTCAAGAAACGCTCACCCAGACCCCAGGTCCCCTGAGGCTTGCTCGGTCACACCCCTGCACACAGACACTCCAACATGTACCCGTCTGCACGCAGGCAGCGCATGACCCAGGGACAATGATGGCGAGGGACCACTGCTGCCTGCCTAACTGTGTTACAGTCAGCCGTCATCTCAATGCATTTACCCCTTCGGGAAAGTCATCCGAGAGTGAGGAAGCAGAAGCTCAGAAAGCTGGAGAAACTTGCCAAGGTCACACAGCCGGAGAGTGGCGACGCTGGGAGCCAAGCTCCAGCCCACGCTGTTGGCTCTTCTTCGCTTACTCAGATGCACCTGCAGCACTGCATGGGTGCGCCGCACGCACACGAAAACCTGCCCCCTCAGTCGGCCCGGACAGCCGATGTCCGTGGGCTCGCTTGCCTGGCCCTGAACTCCTCCTGCACACCACTCCCAGCCCCTCCCCACTGCTCCGATGTCCATGAGAGCCCAGGCCTGGGCACATGTGGGCGCCGCCTGCTGCTCACACAGCCCCCCTCCCTCCCTCCCCACATCCGCACCCCCAGCAGCTGCAGCCCCGGCCTGGCTGGGGGCGGCCCCGGGGTTTAGATGGGTGACTCAGGCTGAATCTGGGCACAAGGGCTCCGTGGCGGCCCCCTCCCCACTCCGCCCAGAAAGCCTGTCTCGAAGGCAGAGGTGGGCCTTCGGGGTGGGAGACAGGGAGTGGGGCCGGAGGGGGTGGGGTGTTGAGACAGGAGTCATCTCTGTGCCCTCCCTGCCCCCCGACCCAGTGGTCTGTGGGTGCTC